AGTTATCTAATCATAAGCATTTAAGTATGGAAACGTGCGCACCCGAAGATATTCTCACTGATAGTTCAAGTCATGATCTTAATAAGAAGCAGTTCTTGCATACAGATAGAAAGAGTGTTTTGTTTTATCCAAGTAGTTCAGACATATATATATATATGAGTAACAGCGGTAAACGCGTGTTGAAATTTTCGTTAAATGGTGAAGATAACAGTTATTGGTTAGACTGTCAAAGTGTTCGTGTCGTTTTCACTTTACAAAATTTAGACGTAGGAGCATTCAACAACAAGCTTTGTCCTTTACCTCGTCCTTATGGCTTTTTCAGAAGAATGCGAATTATTGCTCAAAAACAGGTTGTAGAAGACGTAGATAATTATAATTGAGTTCATCACATGTTCGCTAAAAATGTGTCACAGACCAAGCAAATGAAGGTTTCGGTTATAGATATGATGACGAAGTACAAACATTGCTTGATAATAGCGGTTCTGAATGAAGAATTCCTGAAGTCAATGGCGTTAATGTTTTAGGCTTTCAAGATACATGACGGGCGGATTGAAGCCCTTATGTGTTTTTTTTTCTCAACTTGAATACTTACCTTTAAGATATATATGCGGCATTCAGCCATCGAGCTAGAACTCCTAACTAATGCTAGTGATTGCATTCTTGATTATCGTGACAACGTTCCCTCTCTTTTCCTCTCGTGTTTGAATACTTAGGGCTGGGGCCGTGATCGGTTGAAGCGTTTGCAAGATTTGTTCCTGCGTTAGTCGGGATGGATCCTTTCCGTGTTGCAGATACCCGTCCAATCGTAAAAACATGGCTTTGTGCTATGGGCTGTGCATATGTAGCTTGATCAAGTCGTGAAATATAGGGTCTTGAAGCAAAGAGTTTGCAAACTGTCTTGGCAAGATGAGCGTCACATTTGTTTCCGGCTCATCATATACCAAGGCCTCAGAAGCAAATCCCGTAGGCCGCAGGCAGAGTGATCCCACACATCCCAGACTTTTCAGAGAAACCTAGGCCTGTGTTTCCTGCTAACCAGATCAGGGTGGAGCGCTTCTAAATAAGATACTCCTAATATAACCCCTAAATAACCTTATATAACCACAATATAACCCTGATATAACTCTTAGATAACCTTAATAGAACCCCAATATAACCCTACTATACCCGGGAACAAGGCGGAGTTGGAGGACAAGCTGAAGATCCTGGGCATTTTCGGCGAGCCCTCGAAGAAGGTCCCATGCAAAAACTCCTTAGAAGTATGGGCCCCTAATACGGGCCCTCAGGCCTTTTAGGAGACTCTAGGGACCCTTAAGGGTATATACAAGGTATATATAGCAAGTTTATAGGGATCCCAGGAACAAGGGCCCATTCTGGGGTCACATGGTTTCTGCCTTAGAAGGTATGCAGGGTGTCCAATACACCCGTCTAGCATATTTACCCCTGTGTTTCCCTTGTTGCTCATCCCAATCCTGCCTGGAATTACATTACTGCTAGTCATCGCCTTGTCGAATGAAGGTGTGTACGGAGACGAGAAAGTGAGGGGCAAATGCGCCATAATTGCCACGGCCCCGAACTTCTAAAAAAAACTTACAAATCTTCAGCCTAGCAAAAACACATTCGGAACTTCTTATAACTTATAGGCCCATCTTACATCCCAGAAGAACAGCAGCGGGCGGCGAAGACAGCTCAGCCTCGAGATAGTAGCCTCGGAAGCTTAAAGCTTTTGGGGCGCAGATCTTAAGCTTACCCAGAACCTCCTATGTAATTCCGCTAGTTGATCCTTTGCCCAAGAAACATAACAAAACCAAAAAGGAAATACGTAGGAGCATTTTGGGTAGGCTCGATATCCACGTGGTTCTGGGTTTCAGGTGTTGAAGGCTTGAGGTTTATGGCTGAAAGGTTTTGGGTCTGAGCACTTGGGGTTTAAGGTTTTGGTTTCAGGCTTTAGGATTCAAGCGCCGCCCACAAAAGCCATTTGAACTTCAAGGACTCCTTGGCTTCTAGGGTTCTATTGGGGCAAAATTGGGGTAATATTGCTAATTTAGGGATAATGGAAAAATGGAAACTACTGAAGGATATTTAGGGATTAGATAGGGGTTAGAAGGATTTTAGCGTTTACGGCTTAGGGTTTGTAGAGGTGTCTGGGATTAGCGAAGCAATTCTCCAGAATAGAGGTCTAGCCTCTGCAAGGTTGTGGATATAAATCATTCGAGACCCTAAACCCTAAACCCTAAACCCTGTAGCTTCAGAAGGAAGCCTGCTCTGTGCAACCTTCCCATAGGGCAGACCAAAATTGCTTCACAGCAGGCATCATCTACATGCAGACTACTGAAAATGCACAACTGCTCTGGTCTGTAGCACGGTGTTTTTCTTTCCAAGGTTGGCCATAGTACGGGAAGCGTTAGCATCGCCAGTACTAGAAACCAAGCAGTAGCAATGCCAAATCCAAAACCTTGCTGCCTCCACGGTTTAGGGTCCAGGGTCTAGGGTTTAGGGTGAGTCGTTACCCGCGGTCCATTCCCACAAAGGGCCTGTAACCCTAAACCCTAGTTGTCACAAAGCCCGAAGTGATGCACGCAGGAGGAGCTTTGAGCTTCGTTGCACCGATGCCTCCGGCAAGTTTGGGGTCTAGCTGGAGGGTACAAGTCTAAAGTGGAGACCTCGAAACCCCAGAGAAGCTCTACCCTAAGGGCCAAGGCCTAAATAATGGGGTTTTAGGGCCCAAATACCATGAATATTATAGTATTTGGGCCCTGAAACCCTAGTATTTGGGTCCTTGGACCCTTAGGGCTAACCTGTGACCCCTTTAGGCCTCAAAATTCGGCAGCCTCAGCCCTTGCAAGCTAGACCCTGAACCCTCTGAGCCGCGCATACGCAGAAAACGCTTGACGCACTCCACAAGCGAGCTGCGCGTAGTGGGTAGATGCCCCTGCGATAAGAACTTGTCCTGCAAATTCACAGAGGTAGCCTGTTCAGCCATGTTTTAAGGCTTGGCTTTTCGGGTTATTTTGATGGCTATAGGGTATTTTAACGGGGCCTGGCTGAGCCTAAACCAACAAACCGTGAACAGCTGCTTCTTAAACCAAGTGCTGAGGATCCTCATTCCTCGTGATTTGTTGGGTCGAGGCAGGCTGACAGATTCGCTGGATGTATGGGGGCTTGATTTGAAAGACCAAAAGCTCGTGTGCGGGGCAGCTATGCCGAGAAAAGCAGGTCTTTGAACATGCCGCCACCTTGGCCACCAAAGAGTAATTCTGGAACACAAAGCAGTACCGTTGAGTCAAAAAGTCTACTTTCGAAGGCATATGGTACATATGTGCATGCACTCGCGACTGATGGCCTGTAGCCAGGACAAAAGGTTTCAAGATTGTCCAGGGGCCCTGACAGGTATCATTACCACGAAACGGTGAAAGCTTTCGAGTTTGCCTAGTTAGTGTGGGTCTCAGATTCTCAGATCAAGTAGTAGAGGAATTAAACGGTAGGGCCGCTAGGTTCAAGTTTTTGGCTCTTTGTTGGTAGTGGGAGACAGAAGATAGTTCAGATGCACTGAAACGCAGCCAGCCAGCGCCTTAAGACCAAAAGGGAAGCACAAAGCTGCTTGGCCTCAACCCCCCCAAGCTTCAAACAGCCTAAATGCCAAAGCTCTGGGTCCTAAAGGTGATTTGAACCTCAAAGCCGCCTGCCAGGAGTTGGCTTGCTTTCCTTGGCAGATGTATGTCACCCTCATACGCATACAGAGACATCTTTTGCATCCAGGTTTGTTCCTTCCACATCGGTTAGCTATGCACAGGTCGGGGGCTTTCGTTTTACATTAGGTAGTCTACGTGTGTGAGGGGCAGGACATTAAGCTAAATACTGAACTCCTCCGGCCAGTTGAAGTATCGAAGCATCGGTCTCCGTTTTCGGGACGTTGCAGTGTCTTGATGTTCACCTCAATCTTCTAGGTGAGGCTCCCACCTTGTTCTGGTGGTAGGGATGGAATCTAAAGGGACCTTGATACCATTGCCAAAATCCCCTAGCAGTCACTATAGCCTAAGCAGTATTGCTTGAACCTCGACCTCCGAACATTAAACTGGCCGTTGTAGTTCATGTCTGACAAGATAGAATCTATCCTGACAAAATCCTGACGGCCGTAGTTATTCCAATACATTCGTCTCGACATCCCGCAGATTTTTGCAGATTCTTATTAAGCCCGGCCAAGCAGCTGAGTGGCCTTAATTAATGGGTTTGACTGCGTCCTTAGTCATCTCCAAAGGGTCATTCAGCATGAAATTCCTTTGAACAAAGCCAGTGATGTTCGCTTTCAAAGACATGTCATAGATGGTATGCGAATAACACACCCTGACGTCTGATTTGGTTTCTCAAGCCGGCAGCACAGTGCCATGCGATTCTACATTCAAGCTTCGTGCTTGCACAAATTTAGCTGATGCATCCTCTCTGCCAACGGCATATAACGGAGCACCTAGAGGTTGCAAAGTTCAACATATCAGACTTCTGGTGTATGTATACCTTCTACAGTGCTTCCCGTGCATACCAACAAAAATCTAGACTCTGTCTCGAAATGTTCTAGATGAGACGCCTGAACTCTTGCAGGCATCGTGCGTGCCATGCTTTGCTGCCCACGTTCTAAACTGCAGGTCTTAGACCCGCAAAACTTGTAGATCGTAGATCACAACAGGAATGTCCAACAAGTGGCATCCCGAAACCCTACACCCCCCCACCTTGGCCTGAATCCTGAACCCGACGCCCTGCATCCTACACCCCGAAGCAGGATACCCGAATCCATAGATATCAGCGCAGCGCCAGCATGGGCTGCTTTGATGTTCTTTGCTGCGGCCTCTTGAGTTTGGAGGACTGCATCAAGTAAACGCCCATCAGCCTAACGACGATTCAGCAGACAGCGATGGAGATGCGTGCATGCATGCCAAACAGTTTCTTTTGGGTTTGTTTTCGGCCATGTCTCCACTTGAAGCCTTGCTGAAAGAACATCGTTGCAGGAGGTTCGCCCCGTGCTTCAGGAAGCAGAGTGGAAGACTTAGCGCAAGTCTGCCCGCAGCTAGACTTTAAAATTTCCAGCAGTTCATGGCTTACTTTCTTGACCCTCTCCGCGGATTGGGAGGGAGGGGCCGGGTCTTCATAACAGGGTCTTAAAGAAGTGATGCCAGCACCTCTTCATTGCGAGCAGGGCTTTCGGATACGAGAAGACTCAGAGCACGTCAGTTCAGCATCGGATGCCGCTTTGCCGTGCGTTGAAGTCCCTCTTCGCTTCCCAGCTTCTTGTATCCACTGGTCACTTGCAATGCTTTCGCTTATCAAGGCACAAGTTCCCGCTTGTAGACGGACCTCCAAATCAAAGATTCTTCTCAGCCACCTTTTTTCCTAGACGAACTACTTGACATGGGACTTCCAAAGACGGTAGCCATACAGATTTCGAGAAATCGGGGTTCTCGCAATCATGGGTCCCTGTTTTGGGCTGCATCAAAACAAGCATCCCGCCAGTGCAAGATATACTTGTACTTATGCATCTACTCTACAGGTTGATATGTTCTGCATCTGTACATGTATTCACGGACACGCTGATAAGTTTACACATACACAGACATACAGACATGTATCACACAGACACACATACCTACCTACTTACTTATTTACGTACGTACGCACCTACGTACACATCAGTGCAAGAGCCCCATCTTGAGGAGTCTCCAGATCAGAAGTTTGAGGAGCACTGATCTCATGTGTTGAGTTTTGGGCCTTGACAAGGGCTCCGCGAGCGAGTCATGCAGTCGATGGACAGTATCCCATGGCCGAGCCTTGAACATGCTTTACTACCCTGATTAGCACTGTCGAGGTGTATTGGGTACCGCCCCTGTTTATCTGCATAAAAAGTATGTGGGAGGGAGGAAGTATTGTCGGGGTGAGTGTATGCGGGATTCTCTATGACTGCTCGTATGAGATGTCCAGTTGAAGGACCACAACTGCAGGGCCGTTAAACCACTCCTCTCCGACTGAACACTAATTCATTAGGCTGCTGGGCTCTCACGCTGTTAAGTCTGACGCCCGAAAAACATGCGGCATCCGCTCGCTGGCGCATATAGCTCAGGACAAGGAGTTGGGAACCGAAACCAGTCTTTGTACACGATTCTCAGAAACAATGAGTCTACGTTATCGAGCCAATCACCCACTCACTCGTGAGCAGTAGGGAGATTTATTGGGTGCGTGGCTCTCGTTGATACCCCCAAGGCGAGACATACGGCGAGAGCTCCGAGCCTGTTTCAAGGCTGGCAGGAGCTTACAGCTTAGGTTGCAGGTTTCAGGATTCAATCCATGGTATGGTGGCTGTAGACTTCACAGTTTCTGGTCACCAAGCAGCAAGATCAAGTGCTCGCTCAAGTTTTCATGGCCCCGACTCTTTGAAAAGCCCAAAGGCACCTGGTCAAGGGGTGGAAGTTTGGGTTCTGGACATGAACGCAAGTTTCCTGTCAGAACAGAAAATTCGAAGTAAAGAAGTACCGCTTTGCTTGACCAACAGGATATTTGCGAGGCAGCAAGGGACGGTGCTCGCAAAGGGAGGTGCCAGGCTGAGAGTATGACTGCAGAAGAAGTGCTTCTGCGATGGTCTGGGCCCACAGATGTCGCATGCCACGTGTGAAGCCCAGTATTGAGGGTCTAGCGGACCTCTTCGACGAAAGGATGACCCGCAATTCTGTCAGAGACAAAAAGACAGACAGGTCAACAAAGCTTCCTTTTCTGAACTACACACTGGAATCCCATTTAACCCCAAAAAACGGAACTACATAGGAGCCCTTTGGTAAACGGCTGGCAGCCTAACTAGCGATGATCCAGGAGACAGCCATGGACATGCGGGCATGCGTGCCAAGCAGTTTTTTTTAAGCCACATCTTCACTTGAAGCCTTGCTGAAAGAACATCATTGCAGGGTGTTCGCCGCGTGTTTCGGAAAGCAGCGTGGAAGACTTAGCGCAAGTCCGCAGGTTGGGAGGGGTGGGGCCGGCTCTTAATTTATGACAGAGGAGGTCGCTTGGATTTGAGCCTTCAGGAGACGACTCAGTACATGCCAGTTCCGCATCAAGGCCTGTTGGAACAGAATTTTGCATCCTCATTATATCCAGTCATCAATCCCGTGCCATGCTCATACTTCTCAAGGGTAGACTTTATGCTGGTAGATGGAGCTCTAAACGAAAGATCCTACCCAAGGCCCTTTTTTGCTTAGACAGATTGTGTAGCCAAATCGTTCAAATTCCATAGCCTTGAACTACCTGAAACGGGTCTTCCAAAGAGCATCTCCACGCAGATCTCCAGAAATACGGGTTGTTCCAGTCAAGGTGTTTTGTGTTTTTTGGCTGCCTTTAACAAGCATCCCAGCAGGATGATGTTATACGTTTACTCATCCTAAACTGCTACATCTGTATACATCTACAGATACATAATGTACACATTGACTTATTTAGCAGTTCGTGCGCGCAGACGTGAATACATACTTGAATCAACAAAACTACCTACCTACCTACCTACCTACCTACCTACATGCAAACATACATTATGCATGCCTGCATACATACATACATACATACATACATACATACATACATACATACATACGTACGTACGTACGTACGTACATACGTACATACGTACATACGTACATACGTACATACATACGTACNNACGTACGTACATACGTACATACGTACATACGTACATACGTACATACATACGTACATACGTACATGCGTACATACCTACATACGTACATACCTACATACCTACATACGTACATACGTACATGCGTACATCCATCCATACATCCATACACCCATACACCCATACACCCATACACCCATACACCCATACACCCATCCATCTATCCATCCATCCATGCATCCATGCATGCACGCATGCATGCACATGCGTAGGGCGTGCAAGTGGCCAACCTCATGACTCCGAGATCGAAGCTCTAGGGTTTAGATGTTAGGGTTTAGGAGGTTTACATTCATCTGATGGGTTTGGGCCTGTGCGAGGGCTCCTCCGAGGGGTCATGCGTTCGATGCACACCATCTTGCATGGCGAAATCTGTTATACTACCATGACTCGCACGGTCAAAGCGTCTTGGCTTACGACGTTCTTTATGCATTGGCAGTATGTGGAGGGCTTGTACTATTGTTTCTCTAGGACTACTCATGGTGTGCATGTGAGATGTCCACCTGAAGGGACATAGCCTTCTCAAGTATTGGGTCTGACTTCTGGTTACTTTCCGTACGCCTTTGGCTCGGCCGCATCCCCTTGCCACCGTTGAACCATTCTAATCCCTGAAAGCTACACGATTGAATTGCAGAGCTTTTGTGCAAACATAGGCCGCTGTAAATCTGAAACCCCGAAACCGTGCGTCATCTGCTCATTGCTGTGAAGCTGAGAAGCCGGAATTGGAACCTTGAAGCAGTCTTTGTAAGCAACCCTCAGCAACAATGTCAACTCCACCACCCATTCGTTCCTGAGCAGTAGGGAGACTTCCTGGGTGCTTGAGTTTCTTTGGTACCCCCGAGGCGTTGCGTGCGCCAAGATCTAGAGGCTGGCATGAGCTTGCAGCCAAGGCTTCAGATTTCACGGTCCAATCTGTGGTGTGGTGGTGGTGGGGGCGGCGGCAGCAGTGGCGGTGGCGGTGGCGGTGGTGGTGCTGGTGGTGGTAGCCTTTACAGTTTCTGGCTAGGTTCATACGGTGGATTTAAGGCTAGTATTTAGCAACCAGTCAACTCAACAGGCTGCAAGATCAAGTGCCCACGAAAGTTCTCAACGCCCAGGCGCTCTTTCCCCAGGACCTTATCCCTGAAGGCATCACCCTGTCCATGACTGGAAATAGGGTTTTGGACATCAACGCAAGGTTCTTGTCAGAACGGAAGTTTTGAATTCAAGAAGTACAGCTTTGCTTGACCCACAGGAGATGCGCAAGGCATGGAGAAGCGGTGCGCGCCAAGGCCTGTGCCAGGCTCAGAGCATAGAAAATGCTGCCGTGATGATTGGGATCTCACATATCTAGCGTGCCAAGTGGTGAAGCCCACAATGGAGGGTATAGCGGACCGCTTCAACGAAACGATGATGCAATGCTTCCCCCCGTTTCTCGTCGCTTGTGTGGCTGGGGCTCCATGGTACCAAGCTGGGTGTGCCTTTGAGACATGCTACCATACACCTTAACCCACAAGCCTAAGCCCGAACATGAAGTACAGTTGACTCCTTTGGTGCATAGTAGAGACTAACGCATGGAGGCATTAACAGTGATCACTTCAATGCCATGTTCCTTACTACGCAGCAGGACATGCACTAGATAACAACATGCCTGAGTTGCTGGCGTCTTTGCCAGAGGCAAGACAGAAGAGAGCTGATGCAATGGCTCAGCCAGGCGCGGGTTTGCAACTAAAGGTTTGGAGTTACAGTGTTCAGTAAGTGGGAGAGGGTTGAGAGTTGATCTTCCAACAACTCCAACTGGGCCTGGTTCACGGCAGGCGCCTCACAATTAGCATGAGGTGCCAGCTGTGACAGATATCTTTAAGTATCAGACTCTGGCTATGCCTGAACCCATCCCTAAGTCTAGTGCCTAGTGGTCGCATTTCCAACAATCATACTTGTGGCTGTGCCTGGACTATATACTTTTTATTCCTGCCTGCCATACGAGAGTTCCAGAAGGTATGAAAATGCCAACCTGTGCAGAGCCCAAATGACCAGTTGTTCGTCATTCTGCGGAAGCACCGCGTCCTTCAGCATGTATGACTAGGATTCCAGCGCCAAGCAGGTACAGCAGGTGCCTCCTATTTCGAGAAGCCATGAGGGTTTTCACAAGTTGGGGGTCTAGTAGACCCTGTAATGTGTGTTTGCAAATTGCGGTTTGTATTGGGGCCGGTTTTATTCTATGGAAACCGGCATACATCGTTGCACACTGGACAGTGATGTGGGCATGCATCAAGACTGGGGGACCTTAAACTCCGAAACCCTAGTCCCTCCGTTCCCAACTTTAAAGTTTGCAGCAAGCCATTCCATTCCGGGCACTAAGACTGAAGCCGAAACCAAACCTCCAAACCCAATGCAATATGAACTCTAAACCCTAATCCCCCACCCCAACGCATGAAGCCCAAAGCGCGAGCCGAGGCTTGCTGGGGCGCGTTCAGACCGGTCTTCCCAGTGCCAGCCCCTGATAGAGGCCTGAGTAGCTCTCGACTTGATTCATAGAAATGTTTTTTGGGGGGGATTGTGGATTTTCTGGGAGCTACATTCAGATTTGTCGGGGTATTTCACCATACTAGCCAACGCGCCCCAGAGTGGCTTTTCGAAAGGCTGCAATGATCAGAAGGGGCCGGGGTGAGCAAACTTGGTTTGATGAGGCCTCCCGGGATCATGTGGCATTTGTTGGTTAGCCAATTTGGAAGGGGGCTGTTCGCTTGAGGCATCACCAGGATGATTCAGGGTGTCGGCAGACTCACACTTAGCCGTGAAATTCTTCAGCTTCCAACATGGCAAAGGTGGGCAAACGCTAGGTCTCAGACGTTTCTTCGCTATAGCGGAACATTTCTGTCTAAAGTCTTCAAGGGGAGGATGATAAAAAGCCTGAACAGTTGGGAAGAGTCTCCTTGTCTAGGCTTGTCCCCGAAAGCTACATGCAAAGTCCAAGCAAAATGCCATGGAGGACAGAGGATGAGGCATGAGTCGGCAAGAGCCCGCGCTCAGACCGTAAGTCCGTGAGCTGTTTTCTGTTTTTGGGCAGCATTTAGCTGTCAAATGGCATCTGCCACCTCCGTGTCCGGGAGGTTTGAAAAGGCTTTAAAAGCCTAAAGCCATAGGTCTTGACCTTGCCGGAGGGAAGGTAGTAATTTATTCCCGCAAGTCAGCGGGTCTCGTGTTTTGGATAGGATGGCGCAGGATTTCGGTTTCTGTTGAGGTTTTTCGGGGCCTCAGCAAGGCTCAGTCAGAGAAAAACGCGCTGAACCACTTGTCTGAGCACTGTGATGCCTGAAGAGGCCCGCAGGGCGCGAGGGCACAGCAACTCCCGCGCATCCTACGGCGAATCAGCCGTGCAGCAGGCGCAACGCCCGACTTGTCTTGAGTTCCACACCTTAAGCTCCTGAACCTGCCGCCCGGCCAGGCAAACCCTGGATACTGAACGCATACTCCCTTCCTTCCCCAAGAACCTTCCTCCATACTTAGAGCTCTGGTTCAGCAGCACCAAGGCTCAATTCTTAGACCCAAAGCTGTTCAAACCCCTCAACCCTGCAGGCTAGAGACTTGAAGCTGATAGCTTGACGTGCTTCACCAGTGAGGGTCGGGTGCTTTGTAGATGGCCCCTGGCTAGCTTTGCCTTCGTGGGCTTTGCAGGATGTGTCGTCATAACCTATGTTGGTGTAGCTCATTGACTGGCCGTGTGAGGTCATTTGCGGATGCAGGGTCATGAACAACATGGAGATAAGTGTGTCGAGGAGCAGCAGTCCATGCGCAACTTGGATTCCAGCGTTACACCGCGCTCATACTGTTGACAGACGAAACCCTGCATGACTTGGAGTGTTCTATGCTACAGGAAGGGCACCATCCGCCTACCTGAACGCCACAAGTATGTAGAATACAGCCCTTTTGGCTGTTTTCAGGGGTTTTGGGCCATTCTTTCATTTACTTTCGGGGCCCAGATCATCCTCAGCCTTGCCGGATTTCGTTTGTCAAGAGTCCTTCCTGGCTGTGAAAGTCAGCAGGTAAGACTGGTAGGTGCCGCGAGCTTGACCCGCATGCCTACAGAGCCTAGGTCGACTGAGCAGTTTGTGTGTTGAGTTGGGGCTTTCACGGTCTAATAGGAGCTCGTATTCCCGGTCTTTAGTTAGAGGTTTTGTTCCTAGTACCTTCCTTTGATTATGAGTACTACTATTGACTTAAGGGTCGGGGAGTGTGCAGGTTCGGGGTAGCACGGACTCAGGGTTTAGGTTTCTGCATTTTGGTATATGCCTAGTTGTATAGTGATGGTATAGCGATCGCGACGCATTGAAGTTCAGTGCTTCAGGTGTTGATATTAAGTTGCTTCTTCTTTCCAGCTGCAGCTTGCGGGGTGGATTGCGATCAAGGCATGTTATGCTGCGCCTGAAAATATCTTGCGCCTGGAGCCTAGTCCTCTGTTTCGCGTCTCTTTCACTCGCACGCCTAGGTTGCAATGTTGGGTGGATAATGGAGATCCCACTTGGAAGTATTAGATTTCTAGATCGTCCCCATACAGCGGAAACCGATACCAACCTTGAAGGGTCTGAGCACAGACAAGACCATGATGTCTTGTAGTATAGACTTCGAACCATAACGCCCTAAACTGGCTCGGCTTGGGTCAGCTTCGGCACGGCATGAGCACAACAACTTCCATCACCGGCAGCGCGCCGCGGAAGAAGATGCAGGCCTCCGTTGGTGCATCGGCTGCGTACACTGCAGACACATGCTTTAGACAAGCTGGCTAAAGGTACCTGTGTAAACAATACAGAAGGGCTTTGCAAGTAGCTTGATGGGGGAGTTCTGGGTTGCAGAAAAAACTCTTGTTGACTCCCCCCCAATGTCCACAAGTTTCATGGAAGCAGGGGCTCACAACGGACAAATGCAGCGATGAAGATGAGCACATTAAGTGGTGCTTTTGCGGCGATAGTCTTCGAGTGCTGTTGTTTCAGTAGGAAAGCCATGTAAGATGCAGGTGTTTCTCATGACTTTCACAGCTTCCACACCTTCACAGCTTTTGCGGGGAAAATTGTGGCGGCCGCATCGTATGAAGGACATGGTCCCAACATCATTTGTCACTCAGTGCCATTTCCGCTCCTTCATTCCATGCTAGAAACCGGCAAGTTTGAAGCGCACGGGGTTAGCGCGGTTTGCCTTGGCGCCATGACGTGGTATACATTCCTCGGCCTGGACCAGTTCGAGGTGCGGGGCTCAGCCTCAGGACAACCGTAGCTAGGTGCGTACGTGCAGATCCCCAGCTTCTAGATTGATGGTTGTTGTTTGAGTTAGGACTGGCTGAAAACGAGGTTATCTGCTAGGCCATGCATGCTGTTCATCACATAATCTTGTTTGACTAAACCTCACTTTGATGATCCATACTGCGATCCATGCAGGCCGGCTTCCGCGAGGCGCTGCGTGCCGTTCAGGGCAGACCCGCTCCCCTTATCCTGACATGCCAATCGCAGATTAGCCCTGAACCCCACACATTTCCCTTACATTCGACAAACGATGAGTGATGAGGGTTACGGTGTTTGCAGGGCTGCATTGGGGGGGTTTGTCAGGTTCGGGTTTGGAGTGCCTGGCTTGCAGCAAGCCTAGAGCTTCTGGAAGGCAAACATTCCGAGGGTACCCAGATAGGAGAAAAGCAGTCAGGCGGGGTTTACTAGATTTTTTGCCAACAGAGGGGTGTAAACTAGTCGAGCTATGCGTTCCGTGCAATTGAGCAGTACAGGGCAGTATCCGCCGCCTTAATTGGAAGCTTCCGCGCCGGATTGTGTAAGTTGACAACAATGATGCTGATAGTGATGGTGGTGAGGATGACGATGACAATGATGATGATGATGATGGTGGTTTTTATTGAGGTGTTTGGGTCGACTGCCTGGCCAGAAGAAGCCCTTGACCGTGTTTGCGAGGAGTGGGCTCGCTTGAGCGCTGAGCACGCCGTGAGGAAGCCCAGGAACTGGATGGCCACCTTCATGGCACATGGATATAGGGTTTTTCTTTATAGGGCTTTGGTAGTTTTATATGGGGTTCTTTCGGACTGTTTGTAAGCGAGTAGTACGTCCCACTTCGTGTAAGGCTTAACGATTAGGGGGAGCCTTTGGCCATTGATAGGGATCAGCAGAATTTCCCACAATCATGGATTTCTATTTCGGGTTGTCGTGGATGAGTTTCGATCGTTTTGCGGGAGTATGGTGCGGACACCACGTATCCTCCTAGAATCCCCCTTGATAACCCCTATTGTAGTCCCCTACATAACCCCTTATATAACCCCCCTTCAAGGAGTTTGGACTGTAGCTCACCATGGATATTGTGCAGGCCAAGCTCCCTGAGCAAAAGCAGGTGGACATAAGACAAACCCCGAATAGCTTCGGTCATAGGACTACCATTCACCCCCAATAGGCACTCCCCAAACTAATGTGTTCGACCTTCATTAGTTCGAAGACGCCTCAAAAAGGCCTAGTAGTCCCCGATCCTCCACACTGAGGCCTTAGTTTGTAGGCGTCCCGACTTGGCATGCAGTTTTTGTGTGTCTGCGTGTCTTGCATTTGCGGTCCGTGGTAGAACATGCCGGGGATGGGTTTGGGTCTGCAGGGTTGTCGTTGTCTGAGGGTTTCGAGAAGGTAGAATGAAGCTGGACGTTCCCATATCTAGGGAAGCCCAGATTGCCTGCCTGGCCTGTACAGGGTACTGCCTACAATGTGTGCTGAAGGCTTGAATGAAGCGGGTTCAGGGGGAAGAGCGAGGATGTGACCACTTTGTTCTAGGTCTATTTGCAAGTTATCCTTCAATACTCCAATCCCCGGAACTCCAAAGCAAGCACGAGAGTCAGGAAAGAACATTCTTGTTTGTCACATGACTTATCACGACAGCAAACTTCACGACCTTTGCTGGTGGAAATCCACCTGATGAACCTAGACACAAGTATACCTGCAAGCATTGAATGTTACCGTACAAGCCCAAACTGCGCTACCGTCGAAAGTACCCAACAAGGGCAGCAAGCGCAGTGCCAGGCTCAGGGCAATACGAGGCCACGCTCCCCCGCATTTGCACGGAGGCCGCTTATTAGCCGTCTCTTTTCAAGTAAAGCTCCTTTGTGGTTCCGTGCCATTTAGGGAAGCATCGATGCTTGCTGTTTCTCCTGGACATGCCCACTGTGATATAGAATCTGCATCCCTATAGGGACCTGCCCCGAATGCCGCAGCCTCTCCTGCGCCCTACGGAATGCCTTGTGGTATCCATCTGCACAAGTCTGCTATCAACATTGTTGGTCTGGTAAGCCAGAATACATCATGAACGAATTAATAGGAACAATGATGTGGCAATAGTCAGAACATCTGTATATATATATATATTAGGAGTCTCTTCGTCACAAGCGGATGCGCCGAGAAAAGCTCCAACATTTTGTTCAGAGATTGTAAGGTGAGACGAACAGCCCCACAGCTTGACAAGAATCTTTGCCGCCACCTCGAGTAAAACCTGCACATGTCAAGGTCTGTGCGGCACCTGAATGGTCCCTATAATCCCCTATATAATCCCAGTTTCCATTTCATTTTCCATTTTCTTTTCCATTTGATTCTCCATTATAGTAGGTACCCCCTAATTTTGGGAAACCCTAAACCCTAAACAGTAGTAATCAGAGCCAGTTTCGACAAGGACTGCAAGTAGCAGAGCTGTCGCAACGGTGGAGCCCATTTCGGAGGTCCTCTTTACCCCAAAGAAATGCCCAAAGTAAAAGCATCGTGTACTCCCTGGTTCGTAGTAAAGACCGTAAGGACTCAAAGCAATTGGAACCAGAAACATGTTCTTGTAAAGAAATCCCTGCAGTTATGAAGCCTTTGATCGCTTCATTGCCATGTTCCTCACCAAGCAACCGCGGGGAGCAACGAACGCCTGAGTCCCAGGCTGATATCCAGCATAGAGATCCTGCAACCTCTCTTGCCAGGCGCGAGGGTTTGCGGCTTCATGTTTTGGGTTATAGGCCACAGGTACCTCACCGTGTGCCATGAGGTGCCTCCTAGAGACATCATCAGGCTCTGACTGTTCCAGCTCCACGCTTTAGACCCAGGATTCAGGCCGCAGAGCTGGCATCTCCAACAAAAAGGCATGCTTGGACTATATGTTGGAAGTATTTGGGGTTGCCACACTAGAATTCCAAAGGAATAATGAAAAGTCTTGGCAGAAACCAATCTTTCATCATTCCACGAAAGCGCCTTGTCCTTCAAAGCATGCATGGCTAGGATTTCCAACGCAAAGCAGGTCAAGCATTCACATCTCGTTTTTTGAGCCTATACCGGAGTTTCCAAGATCGGGGTTTGCATTGGAGCCCCTGCTTATGGATCCCCGC